CTGGAGCCGGAAAGGCGAGGAGGGACCAGGTGAGGGTGCAGCGCCCAGGACCTCCGGGGAGGGGGCGGCGGGGGCCAGCCTTGGTCCCCTAGGGCCAGACCTGCGGACCTGACCTGGCCGGCGCCGCAGTCACACTCCTCGCCCTCTTCCACGAAGCCGTTCCCGCAGCGCGCCCGCGGCACCAGGAGCCCAAAGTCCGGCGCGTTGGAGAGGCACGCGCCGCCCCCCTTTCGGAAGAAGGCGCGCAGCTGGCGGCGGCTGCAGGCGCTAAATACGCGCGGGAACGGATGCCTACGGGGGGAGGACGGTGTCGGGAATGCAGGGACCACCCCTGCCAAACTCTTCCCCCTCCCCGCTACACACCAGTGCTTAGCCACACAGCCGCCCGATGTGCGGACTCCGCCCCAGCGACGGGTGGCTCTAATTGTCTAGAGGGGGAGCTCTGAGAGGGTAAGAAACTGGCGTAAAATCACGCAGTGAGCCGGAGGCAGAAGGATGTGAAGCCAAGATTCGGCAGCCCAGGACCCAAAGTCGAATCCCCACCCAGCGCCCCTACCCCCTGGTTGGAGTCACCTCGCAACGTTGTTCCGAAAGTAATTTCCATATTTGTGAGAATCCACTTTGCCTGAGTTTCCTCCGTTTAAGCCTCATAAACCTCAAGGAGGGTACTATTATCATCACCCCCATATTGCAGAAGAAGAAACTGAGGGATAGTCATTTCGCCCATAAAGATACAGCTGAGGAAGCCTGGGCCCCGCTGGGCCTCCCTCAGCCCCTCTCCCTCGCGCAGCGCCGGTACCCGGTAGCCGCTGCCATGACGCAGCCACCCTGCTCCGCCGCCGCCTCCCCGCAGCAGCCGTCCGGGTCGTGGCTGAGACCGAGGCTGTGGCCTATCTCGTGGGCCATGGTGGCTGCAGCGCCAATGGGGAGCTCCGAGTGGTCCTGGGAGGACGTGAGATGGTCACCGCGGGCTGCGGGGACCGCCGCTCCCCGGCACCTCCCCTCCCCTTCCGGTCCCGGGTGGCGCTCACCGTGCTCACGCCTCCAGAGCTCTCCTCGCGGCACATGCCCTCGACGGGCGCCAGGCCCACGGTGGCGCCCCGGAAGGCGCGGCCCCTGAGGGAGGAGCGCAGCGTGACCCCGGATGGCCAGGAGTCCGCGCCGCCCAGGGGGGACCCGCGTGGGGGTCAGAGGCACGCACGTGAGCAGCTGCGCCGAGTCGTGTGGCCTCCGCGCCCACAGCCCCCGGCGCCACTGCAGGAAAGCCCAGAGCGTGGCGTTCGCGTCTGGCGTGACGCGGCTCCGGTCCTGCTCGGTCCACACTTCCAGACCGGTCAGCGCCACCTGGATGTCCAGAGTCTTGAGAATCTGTGGGCACAGCGGGACAAGGCTGAAACGGGTGATCCGCCTTGGTGCCCGTGGGAGCTCCCTTCTTTGCTGGCCTCCGTCCCCTCTCCCCATCTCCAAGCTTGTCCCTGTCACGCTGTCACCCACGGCTCTCTCCCCAGTGACCCAACTTGATCCACATAGCTGGCGACCTCCAGAAGACGTTGTTTGGTGTGGTTCAAGTTCCGGTGCTGGGTCAAGAACTTGAAAGGCAGAGAAAGGGCGATGTGAGGGGCTGAGCTGGCCACATCCAGGCCAGCCAACCCCCTTGGGGCTCCTCTCACCAGGGTGTGGTCAGCCACTATGTACAGCTCCAGGTACCTCGGACTTCGGAGGGACTCCCGCCTCTCCTGGGGGGTGGCAGTGGTGACCCTGAGTGGCAGGCTGCTGGGCTTGAGCCCTGACCAACCCCAGTTCCCAGAATGCACAAAGTTAACTTTAAAATTCTACTAGAACTTGTTTCTTCAGCCTCCAAATAAAAATGTCAGGACAGGAGGCCCTGAACTGGGGCTGTGCATTGCTGTCTCTGATTTTAGAGGGCTGTGGATACTGCATGCCCACTCCCACCCCTACCCATGCCCCTGACCCTGATTTGGGTGGCACGAGATAGTCTGGCCATGTCCCCTTTGTCCCCTGGGTCCTTGTGGCTACAGGTTCCTTTCCAGCTGAGCAGCTGCTCCATCTGGAAGATCTTGTGGGTCAAGAAGTCCTCAGAGTCCCCCGCTGGCCAGGGATGCACATAATAGCTGGCATTGCTGCTGAGCGTGATCAGGCCCCTAGGGTGCAAAGGAGTGCAGAGACAGGTATAAGGGAACTCTTTCCCTAGCCCCAGGCCCAGCCCCCTCCTCCAGAACTCCTCACCTCATCCCAGAACAGGTGGTGAGGACTACCCAGGAGTCAGGGAAGCCCCTCACACGCCCATGGTAGTGGCAATGATCCTGGAAAGCAAGGGACCCGGCCCCAAATCTCAGCCAGGTCTGAAGTGGGAGGGGCAAGAGAGAGCCTGGTGGGGGACTGAATCCAGCTTCTCTTTAGGAACAGGAGGAGAATGGGGGAAGTGGTGCAGAGACCTCAAGGGGTGCATCCCCGACACCCCTCACCCAGTTCTCAGAGCCCATGGAAGTATCTCACCGTGCGGCTGGGGACCAGCACCACTGGCTGCCCATCTGGTGTGTAGTGGGTTTCTGTGTATCCCGGGGCCAGCAGCCTGCTAGGAGGGGTTGTTGCAGAAATGACCTAATCCAGCCTTGCCTCCTCCAGGATGCCCTTCGGTCTTCCTCCCTGAATGCTAATTGAGTAGCTCTGAGTGAAGCACCCAAAGTGTCTCTTAGGGAAGGGAAAGGAGTGACTACGCATTTTCCAGCTCAGAAAAATCTTGGGCTAGGGGGAGCAAGATGAAGGGCGGGAAGGAGCCCTGGTGATGGCTTAGATGTGGAAGTGGGAGTGTGGGACACACCAGGGATGAGTAGAAACAAGGGGAAGGTTGATGGTCCCAGTGGGGCCTGTGGCAGGCAGCTGGATCCACAGGTCAGGAGTGTTAGAGAGAGACTGGGCAGGAGGCGAGGAGTCAGGAGGCACTGCCAAGAAGGTGGGACTTGGAGTCAAGAAGTGTGGTGAACTTCCTAGGTGGCTCTGTTGCTGCCCACCCTTGTTGAGCATCTGGACAACCCTCTAGGCCACCTCCCCCCACTTAAGGAGCCTTCAAATCTTCTCCCCAGGCCCCCAGATCCCATGTATCTCCCCATCTGTCCTTCAGCAATGCTCACCCACTGCTTCCAGAGAAAAAACAGGATCTACACCACTTCTGGTGCATCCTATCTGAGCAAGGATCCCCCTCCTCTCTTTTTTCAGACCCCACTCAAATAATGATTTCATCTTCAGGCTCCATCTCACCAGGATCCTTCCCACCAAGATGGGAAGTAAATCTCTCTAAAGAAAATCTTGACCCCACCTCACCTGGACCTCTTTACCCCCAGACTGCCCTAAAATCTTGTGATGCCTGCTTCTCCACTTGCCAGTCTTTCCTCTTTTCTCCAGCTGTGCTCCCGCACTCCATGCACACACTCAACCCTAGGAGGGAGGTGATGTAATCACCCCATTTAATGCATAAGGACATCGAATCCCAGAGAAACTATGATTAAACATGATGGAGCCTGTCTGTTCCCAGTGCATGGGGGAGGATAAAACGTAAAATGCTTAGAACAGTGCCTGCAATGAAACAAGCACTTGATAAATGATAGCTGTTGAAAATGGTCTTAGACATGCACCCACCCAGCCCAGCCCAGCCTGCTCACTCACCAGCTCAAAATCTTTGGTTTTGCACCATCCCGGACACTCAGCACCACATTGGCCTTCTGTGATTCGGCCCTACTAGGACTCCCCAAATTTGTTTTCCCCTGCTCCCTTCACTCCAGATGGAGACTCCCCAGGCAGGCCGAATTGCTGCCCCCTGAATGTGCCTGGATGTTAGTAGCCACTGTACCTCTGTCCCTGCCATTCCCACAGCCTGGAGCACCCGCCTATCTTTGGAATCCATCCTGGATTCTCTTTTGACTCAGCACACCCCGTGAGCACCCAACCAGGTGATGCTCGTTCAGTCTCGGCAGGAAGCAGACAAGATGCTCCTGGGGCTGGGATGAGAGAGGTTCCCACAGCAGGGCTGATCCAGCCTCAGTAGTCTACGTCAGTCTCAAGGGAGCCAGTCCTGGGCTGGCATGACTCTCCCTGTCACCTGCACCTCCTCCTCTGGGGCCCTTGTCCCATCCAGCCTCCCTCTAGGGTTCCTGACAGTCCTTGCTCCCAGCACATATCCCTCCCCAGAGACAGAAGCTATTCTTGGCTCCCAGACCTGGTACTCACTGGTTCTTCTCCAGCTCGAGCAGGAGCTCCCGGCCTTCAACCTCCAAGGCCACCAGCCCTTCTTCTAGCTTCGAGACCTGGACAAGAATGCACGCAGGGCTGAGAGAGCAGACATCCTGGCCTCTTGCCTGCCAGGGAGCAGGAGGGGTATGGAGCTGGCTGGTGAGAGAGTTCATGGGGGGAGCACAGGGGTATGGGGTGGCAGACCTCCCACTTGTCCTGGGGGGTGTGGATGGGTGTGGGGTGAGAAATGCAAAGATGCTCCCAAACTCGGAATGTTCGTTGTTCTGTCAGCAGCAGCCATTTGACAGAACCTGCTAGGTGCACATCACATCCTTCCTGGAGAGACAAGAAGTCTCAGAGAGGTGCCAAGCCTTGCCCAAGGTTACTAGGCCCTTCCTCTGGCCCTCCCTCCACTTTCATGCCCAGAAGCCTTCCTCTATGCAGGGAAGACAGTGGGGGTCCTCAAGAAAGACAGGGGAGAAGGGGGCAGCTGCTGCTCCAGCCTCCTCACCACCTCTACTTTCCATATCTTGCTGCTTGCTCCCCACTCCCTGTAAAACTCAGACTTAGTACCGCCACTTCCACTTCTGATAAACTGCACCCCCAAGTTTTCCTATGCCTCTAGCAGGCTCTCCACACACCAGCTTCATTAAGCCCCTGAAGTAAACACTGACCTGCAACCCAGGCCGAGAGAAAAACACTGGCTTTCTCGGCTAGAGGTCAGGGGGGCGGGCCTGGGCCTGGGCCTAGGCCTGCCCACCCACCCCTCCTTCCCTCTACTCTCTTTGCTTCTTCCTCCCTTTAGGGATTACCACATCTGCCCCTTGTCCACTCAGCCTGGCTGCGGGCCCAGGGCTGGAGCAGGCCTGGAGCCTCCTGAAGAGCAGCTGTGTGTTTGGAATGCTGGCCTCCACCCCTGTTGGCCCTCCCCTTTTATCCCACAATGCATTGGGCTGGGCCCCAGGCCAAGGCCCAGAGTCTTGGGGAGACCCTTCCTCTGCAGGTGGGGAGCAGATAGTCCCCTGCCCCAGCCAAAAGTCCCCCAAGGCCCCAGGCATGAGCTCATGTGGCTGGAATGCCACCTGTTTTAATTGGAAAAAGGTTTGCACTGAAGAAAGGCAGCAGCACAGACGGAAGGCTACCCCCTACCCCGCCCACACCCCTCTCTGGGTCCCTGCACCCACTGCCGTCCTCACTTCTTGCCCTCTTGGTGACCCGGCCCCTCATGACGCACTCCATCTCCAACTTGAAATGTGGGTGTTTCCTGCTTCCGGGACGGGACTCCCGGCCACTCCGTCTGCTGTCTTCAGCTTGGCAGGCTTCACAGGGACAGGGGCCAGCAAGTGGGGAAAGTAAAGCCCCTCTGGCATTCCCCTCCTGGTCACAGCCAAGGCCAGGCGCAGAGGGAGGGCCACGGTCAGGGGGCCTCAGTGTGCGCCCCCTCCCCCCCACCTGTGACATCCAAGAAAGCAATCTCAAAGCTCCAGCCAGTGCTGTGCGGACCACTTAAGTAGGGGCCCCGAGGGTTTGGGGGACCCAGTGAGGGACCTAGGCTGGGAGTTGTTGGGCCTGGTGGGGGTGACGGGGTTGTCCCAGCCTTCAGGGCAGGGTTTGTCTGCCTTCCTGCAGGCTTGGACAGTGGGCTGTCCTCTCCTTCCTGACAACTCAGGATGACAGAGGCTCTCTAGACTTAGGGGACATTGGCCAATGGTTTGAAGTCTTCCAGTAGTGGGTCTCAGGCTTCTGGGTTACAGAGCTGTGTGACCTTGGGCAGTTTCTCCAACCTCTCTGGGCTACAGTTTGCCTCTGTGAAATGGGCATACAAAGGCTGCTGGCCTTCTGGTTTGCAGCATAGATGTGTGGCACATAAGGATGGGGGCGAGGTGACTCTGAAAGTGTGTGATGGGTGGGCGTTGGGAGGAGGCTGGGGCAGAGTGTCCAGGAGAACCAAAACGGGGCAGGCTTGCATCTGAGGGCACTAGGAGAGCAGCTACTGGGCAGAAGTGGATCCCGCATGAGCCAGTGAGGCTGAAGTTTCAGGCCCCTCCATGGCAGGATCCCGGGGGACAGCAGTGAGTCCACAGCATCACATGTTCTAGTAAACTTTGCAAAAGGAAGATTTTTTGGTGTTTTTTTAGAGTTCCCTGAAAAGCTCTGGCCCCACCTCTGCTTGATGGAGTGGGGATGGCCCAAATAATTCTCGGAAGAGAGGGTTAGGAGGAGGTGGGGGAGAAGAAGCTAGAAAATGACTTCCATGTGTTCAGGCTCTCTCCATCTCGATGGCTCTCACCCCCACCTGCCAAGGCTTCAGGGAGAGCCTGAAGGACTTGGGGGATCTAGGGACCCCAAGAAAACTGCCAAGCTGAAACTTGGGGAGTGGCTGAAATTTGGGGAGTGGCATAGGGGCCGAGAGACCCTGGGCATCTGCAGAGGAAAGGGTCACCTGGCACTGACCGGCTCCTCCAGGGTGACCATGTGCCAGGGACGTCCATCCAGGACCCAGTGTGGGATGACTGGCTCTCCAAAGGTGTTTCCTAAGGTGAGGACAGAGCACAGGGTGAAGGAGACCTGAGGGACATAGGGAAGTTGGGGACAACAGAGAGAGAGAATTACAGGATGTCAGCAGGGAGGAATGTGAGACTCCATCTTCAATACTCAAATGTTTAGCCTGGAGAAAGTTGGCCACACATGGGGCACCCTTGGAACTGAGGAGCCACCAGGGAGGTGGCAGAAGAGAGACAGAGGAGCCTGGGAGGAACAGTTCAGCTGGGAACTTGGGAACCCCACTGACTTTATAGGGGAATTTGGGGTCAAAAATCACAAGGAAGAGACCAAGGCCCCCAGTGCAGAGGGGAAGGGAAATGGGAGGCCACTTTGGGTATTTTTAGACTGGGCAGCAGATGCCTTTAGGGTGAGAAATCCATGAAGAATGGATGCCAGAGTCTCCCCTGCCATCTGAGAAAAACAATAGCCAGATGTTGCCTTGGGAGGTCTATCTTGCCCAGAGCGCCTCTTGGGGGCTTCATGCTCAAGGCAGGGTTTCCAGGGATCCTGGCCCAGAAGCCCCCTCCTCAAATCTTCAAGGAGGGAGTTGTTTGGGGGACAACTTGAGTGCTTTCAAGCCAGGTATGCTGAAGGAAGAGGCTCCAGGAGGAACACCAAAGCCCAGCATTACTCAGGGGGTGCCTGGAATGTTCCCTTCGGAGTGATCCCAGAACCCCCGTGGGCCCCAGCAACTTTCACCACACCCGCCCTGCAGGATCAGAACTCAGGCTGGCCTGAGCCCACAGGCACTCAGTCCCTGGGGAAGCTCAGCTCCCCAGAACTCACAGCTCCCCAACCCCCACCGAATCCTGGCCCCAGTCCTGCCCAGGCTGAGATGGCTGCCTGTAGAAGTGGCTCAGCTCCAGCCAGGCCACCCCAACTCCTTTCTCCTTCCCCATCTCCTCCTCCAGATGCCATCACCTGGAGGAGCATCCAGGAAGTCCCCTTCTCCCATGAAGCCCTCCCTGATTGGGTCAGCTAGTTGCCATCAGGTAGGTGGGGTGTGGGGCTTTGGAATGGAGGCTGAAGGGCCAGTGTAGGGAGGGGAGGTCTCAACCCAGGGAGGACTTAACTGGGTGTGGAGAACCATGTCTAGCTGGTCCTAGGTTTCCCAGGGTGGAGAGGGGAAAGGGTGCCTGTGTGTACGTGTGAGTTGGGGGTTCTCCTGGTCCTGCGTGCACACACGATGGTCATTGGCACCTTGATGAGGGACAGAGAGGCAGAGGTGATGTGACTAGGTGGATGGGAGTGGAACCTGGGGGAGCCAGTGTGGTGTTGGGGAGCACGAAGCCCCTCTCCGCTCCTCCCACAGGTAGCGTCATCCTCCCCTGACCCCAGGCTGAAGAGGAGGGAGCAGTGGAATGCCTGGGGATCATCCCCAAAGGCACAGGGCTGTTGTCCCTCCCCCTTGGGGCCCCAGAACAGATCAGGACCCCATCCCTGTTGGGGCCCCCCACCCCACCCCTCACCCCCACACTGCACTCCGGAACCCATTGCCCTCAGGCCACCCGGCCATTCCTGCCTCCTCCCTGGTTGCCCTCCTAGCCCCGTCACCAGGCACTTGATGTACAGGGCTCAGCCAGTCCTCCCACCCATTGGGAGAGGTTTTCATCAACCCCATCTCACAGAGCGTTTGGAGAGGTCACACTGGGAAGAGGAGCTGCAGTCTCTCCCCAGGGCCTGGCTAAACAGGCACCTTCTGTTTCAAGTCGTTTCTATCTAACCAAACAAGGCAACTATATAAACAATATATACTCTGGCCCACGGCCCTGGGATGACGGGGTGAGCATGGGATGATGCATTAGTGTGGAGGCCACAGCTGGTCCCTTAGTGTGAGGGCACAGCGGGGACTCCACGGCACCAATAGTCTAGGGCTTCCTGGAGAGGGGAAGCCCACTGAACCTTGCAGGATGGCGATGCAGGAATTCTCACGCTGGCGGAGGGGGCCAGAGCAAAGAATCCAGAGGGGTTTGGGGGCACTGGACAGCTGCTCAGAGGGGAAGGGGCCCTGCCACTCTGCTTCGCCATTGTCACAGGGCAGCTGGGCAGAGTGTGCAAGATGAGAGTCTCTGGGCAGTTCCCACGCAGACCCTCCCAAGCCCTTCCATGCCCTGTCCTGGCTGCACGTTCCCTGGGATTTCAGACCCTCCAGTCCTGACAGTGACCTCGCCTACCCCTCGGGGCGCACTCCCACTCACCTTGAAACGCCTCGGCCCCCCACATTGGCCACGGTAGTCGCAGTAGCAGCAGCAACGGCAGCCCCAACACCAGCGACCCTCGAGCTCTCCGAGACCCCGGGCCCATAGCTGCGAACGCCTCGCTTCTGCGGCTCCAGGCTCCGCCCCGGCTGGATGGCTGCCGACCCACGCCCAGTGCA